GGGGACATCCAGCCACTCCCTAGAGGAGTCTCGTAGGATTGTTTCCTGTAGCACTTTTTTTTTTTTTTTTTTTTTTTTTGGTGTGGCCAGTTCCAGCTTTCAGTGACTCAGTAGATCCTCAAATACTTCCCATGGGAAATACAACTCCGCGGTATCAGAAAACACAGCCAATGTTTCTTGATGAGTTTTGTGCACATTTTTCTTTACTGAATTGTATCTTCATTCTCTTTCCACCCCAGAACAGTGAACAATTATTTTCCCTTCTCTGTGCTTACACCCTTCAAATACTTGCAGACACTTCTCATGTCCCGTTTGAGTCACTGTTTGGCACTGCCCGATGGCTTCAGTTTTTATTGCCTCTGCTCATAAACTGTACCCCCTTGTGCCTTAATAGCCTGAAGTTCTCTTCTCCAGGGAAAAGGGGATGGGAGTGGTAGAGTCTTAAGTGTATTATATGAGGAGGCCCAGGGATGGATTTAGAGTGAAGCTAATGAAACTTCAGCTTCCATGTCTCCTACTCACTCCACCCCTTCTCAAACCTTGTTACCTAATTTGTACTTTCAACTGTGTAGTCTTTTTCTTAAAGAGTGCCTCCAAAATTATATTATTTTAGGCCTCCACAAAGCCTGGATCCACCCCTTAGGAAACTGTGCATTTTGTGTGTGTGCTTGGATGCCTGGCTGCTGGATGTGACCAGTCTTGATCACCCCTTCCCCAAGGACCCTGGGCCACAACGTCTAATTTCCTCTTTTTGACAAAACATGAGTTTCTCTGCCTGGCCACAAACATCAGAGCCCAGCATCCCACTCACTTCCTTTCATTGTAATTTGGGCATGTTAATATTTTTTTCTTCCCTTTCCTCTCTTAGAACAGAAGAAGTAATTGCTAGTCAATGTGACATAAATATAATTAGGTTCGGCTCAGAAGCTCATGACTCAGCACAGACAAGAAGATTCCACATCTAAAAAAAGTATTTAGCTCTGGTATGTTGGGCTGTGACCATTCCAAGATGACCTCTGCAGGAATATGTATGCACCTCACCATTATGACACCACAGGGCCAATGGTGGGGACTAACTTAGATTTGCTAAGGTCCTCAGTCACTGTTCCTTGTACTGACAAAACCACATTTATTAGGGTGTGCATCAAGGACAAACAGTGGTTTTGGGGCACCCACATATACTTTGTAAATGGGAATGCAGTTTATTGTTTTGTGAGTACATTGCAGGTTAGAGGTGATTAAAATGATAGGTGTGAATGCTCAGCTGGAGAGTAGATTATATACCACATCACTTGCCTAATGCCAAGGCCTGGGGCTAAGGGATCCGGTGTTTTATTTTTTCTTCACGTCATCCATCCTGGCATGTTCCAGGAATGGTTTTGTTTGCCCTGACTGGCAGGAGTATCTCTGTCCTCCCAGGAACCAGATTTCCAACCCACGCATGATTAGCTCCTTTCTGTTACTCAGTAGAGAAAGGGCTGGATTGGGGTGTAAATGTCTCGGCTATCACGGATCTGATGACCATGCCCCTGTTCTCTGCTCCTGCGTGTCTAGCATGTTCCTGTCTCGTGTAACTCATCACATGGCTTACTTGTCTGTTATGCTCATTTGACTTGAAGTTGCTTGATGTAGTCGCAGCTATGTTTTATTCATTGTTGAACCTGAGAACCTTGAAGTGTTTTAACGTCTATGAATGAATGAATGAATGAATGGTGTAATAAAAACAAGGCTCATGGATACAATTAGGAATCCTGAGTGAAGATGTGAATAAAGAAGTGTGTCCAAACAGCCTTCTGTTGCTAAAGGAAACAGGATGATTCCCAATTCACATATGTAAGAGCAGTGAGAAGCTACAAAGGAAGCCCATGGGTCCACAGACACACCCTAAGCCTTTCTACACAGATGCACCCAGAGTTTCATCAAACAGATTCTCTGCCAATCCATTTCCTCTCACCTGTGGAAACATTCCTGCTTTTCGATGAGCAAAACCCAGAAAACGGTGGTGATCTCATGAAAGAGTATTATCTTTAGTGCACAGAGATCAGGGGACAAACACATTGCTCAAAAACCAGCGACAGATTGGAAATGCTATGTCCTTTTCCAAGCTGGGTGGTCACCTACAGATTAGATGCCATTGTGGATGATGTATCTCTAACCTTCTGAGCTTTTGCTGCTCTAACTGCAATGTTTTACATCAGTGCTTGATCTTCGACTCCACTGATGAAGGCAAAGAAGGTCTTCTTCACAAGGGACATTTTCACATTTGTTTTCCAGCCCGGAAGGGAAGAGTAATGCCACCAAAATGCCCGTAGTTAGTGTCCAAAATGACTACAGCACTGTAGGACACTTAGCTCCGGGATTTATCAACTGTCACCAGGTGTAAGGGGCCACATCATCTCAAATGCTCCCACAATCAAATGGCTCCAGTCTTCCTAACGTAGGTCCCGAGTTCTGGGAATACTTCCACTTCCATTCAGTGGGAAGGACCCTAGAAAAGCATCTCGGGGCCTAGTTCTCGTCTTTCCCTTTCCGCTTTTTAATGGAATTGTTTGAGGACTTTTGCTAATGCAGTCATTTCCAGGAGAGGAAGCCGCCTTTCTTCCAGGCCCCAAGCAGCTGGGGTGAATCAGAGGGGCAGCCACAGCTGCACATCCTGTGGGGCAATCGCTCACGCGCGGGTGACGGCGCCCGCGGGTCGGCTGGGGCCGGGGGCTCTTGGGGACCGCGGGGCGAGGCGGGACGTAACGGGTGGGGCCTCCAGGGGATGCCTGGGCCGCGTCATCTCCACTTCCGAGCGCTCCCCCTTCGTCTCCAACCCAGATGAGTAACGCGCCCCTCCCGTTTACTACGGCGCCTGGTCGCCTAGTAACGGGGCGCGTTGCCACGGCAACGGGCGGGGCGTGTTTGGCATTGTTTTCGAGGCCCCGCCCCGCGGCCGCTAACACCTCGGGTTTCCTGACCGGGTGGGGCTGGGGAGCGGGGCTATTTCTTCCTCTGGGACCCGGGTCTTCCTGCGTCGGCTGAGAACCGTGTCCCCGGGGCCCTCCCAGAGAGCAGGCACGGCCAGGGCAGCCCGGGGGGCCCGGCGAGCCGCGGAGGGCGCGGCTGTGTGTGCCCGGGAGTTGGGCCGGGGCGCTAGGTCACCCGAGGCGGTGGCGCGGCCCCTCTGCGGCCTGGGGAGGGCGGGACAGACGGAGTCGTCGGAGGGAAGGATTCCTCGCACCCAGGCCGGTGGGCCAGAGCTCGGGGTGTGCCGGGCTGCTGAGAGTCCGACATCAGGCATGTCCCTGCCCTTGCTTCCCAGAGCGACGGGTCCCAGGCTCCCGTTCTAAGGGAAGGAGATGTCTGCGCCTCTTTTGGAGGACCCGAGGGGCGGGACTTCGCCACCCAGACCCCTTAGCAGATCCGAGTTCTGTTTAGGACTCTAAGAACGACTGCACTGAGGATTTTGGCCAAGTTACTTAACCTCCCACAGGGTTAAATTTACCCTCAGGGGCAAATGAGGGCAATGAGTTGTCTTCAGTTCTGTGAAAATAAAAGAGGTAGGAAGAGTGCCTCTAAGCAGAAACGAAGGGGAAGCGAGCCTATGCTACAAGCCGACACTTTGCTAGATTCTTCACAGACATCTTCCGTAATCAACTAGCCTGAAAGAGACGTGGCATCTCCAGGTTATAAATGAGGGTTCCGATTGGGAGGGTTTGACTTGCTCAAGGCCACAAAACAAGTAAATAGTAGAGTCAACATTGGCAACCTTCTAGGACTGCTGCCTGACTCATCACAGGGCTGCCACTCAGTACAAGCCAGGGCGCAGTCACCTTTAACAAAATGTACAGATTGCAGGCCAGATTATGGGACCTCTTGCAGAATGAGACAATGGATTAAGTGTACTTTATACTTCTCAGGTACATATTGGCAACCAGACTCTCCCATATTCCCTCTGTGTCTCCCCTAGAAAACCACTGATAAGGAACTATAATAAAATATATTCTAAGCCATGACTGACTTTTTCTGTCATGTTCGCATCCACTTCTTTATCATCTATTCACTTTGGGCTGCTTCTGATTTAGGGAGGCTGCCTGAGCCCACACTTTGATGGCTCTTCAGAACCACCAGCTCAGCTCTGCAGTCGCAGAAGTGCCCCTTAAATTATCCTGTTCTTTCCTTTGAGATCCTAACTTCTAGCTGGTCAACAACACACCACATTGCTCGCTGTGTTGGAGTGTGTGCGCGTGTGTGTGCTAGTTTGCTGGCTAATCGCAAGCGTCATATTTCTCTCCTGAGAAAGGCAAAATATTTGAGAATGCACAGCATTGGTTTTTTTAAGTAACCCTTAGAGCTGAAAGTTGGGCGGCTGGTCGTTTCAGGATGTAGGTCCAATCCTAAGCCAGCCACAACTTCTCTGCAGGGTGTGAGAGTCTTCCTGGGTCTGAAAGGACCCCTGAAGACTCTCCTGGATTCTCTGAGACTAGGAAGAGCTCGACCTTGTGTTCTCCTTCCCAGTTCCAGATTAGAGCTGGCTTCCAGCAGGACCTTGGCGATGCCTCACTGTTCTCTGGCATAGAGCTTAATGTCTGCTCTTTCAGCTGACCAGGGTGACCCACAGCTCTATCTTTGCCACCGCTACTGGGCCTTTACTAGAGTCCAGATTTTGGCAACAGGAATAATATGGATGAAAAGAAAAAAGGAGAGGCATAGGGAGCCCAGAGAACAGAGAGGAAAAGGAAGATGATGAGGCAAGGGAAGAAGAAATGGAAGTTTTAATGAAGGGAGATGAAAAGGTAATAGGCCAAGGTATAGACATACAAGGTTTATCTATAAACACTGGGCTGAGTAACACATTTTCATTCCATTTTGTAGAACCCTATAGTGCATTTCCAAGCTCCTTACTGTGACCATGAGAAATCTATGAAATTGATAAGTTAGTATAACCTGTATTACAAATCCAGCATTAAGGGTATGTGTATGAGATGTACGTGAGATCTCAAAATCAATGTACCTACCTCCTGGGTGAGGTAAACATTTTGAGTCAGTTGAGAGGGATCGCTCATTCACTTTTGCAGTGCAAAGGCAGAGAAGTTTCAGCTTCTCCTCTGTACCGTCTCAATCAGCTGGATAGAATATTTCGCGTGAGGATGAATCAGGCCCCTCTTGCCAGCAGAGGGGTAAGGTGTTGTGTGGTGGATTGAAGAGCATGTCCTGAGGGCAGAATGCCAGCCAGGGCGGGGCCGGGTGACCTATGGGGTTTACTCTGTGATGTCACAATGGCAGGCAGGGGTCTCCTTTTGCTCCCTTAGCCTCCTCCTTCCCCTGGCTCCAGAAGGATTTGGTGGGGGTGTCACACTGGGTACCTGCCAATGGCTAGATGTCTTCTGAAGTCATCCAGATCAGTGCCTCTCTTATTGTGTGTAGGATTCACCAGGGGAACTTAGTCACATGCAGATCCTGAAGGTCTGGGTGGGCTCTCACATAGGTGCAGCCAGACCACATTGAGTTCTGAGACTCTACACCAATGCTGTCAAAGCAAAATACAATGTGGACTACACATGTCATTTAAAATTTTCTAGTAGCCACATTAAAGTAAATTGTCTACTTACAAACTGGGAATAATTATTAATTAAAGAAAAAAGTAAATTGGACACACATACTGTGATATAGCAATCATGTTATACAACACTATGTTTAAAATGTAGCCCTCTCCAAACGATAAAGTTGGGTTTAATAAAAAAATATTTTATACTGCATTCATTTTAAAAATAAAATTTAATAAATTCAAATTACATAAAATTAGAAATTCAGTTGCTCAGTCGCACTATCCATATCATAAGACCTCCACAGCCACACGTAGCAAGTAGCTACCTTATTGGATGGCACAACTCAAGGCCATTTCCTGAACAGGTAACAATGTACAGAAATTACCCTTCTAAAGGACTGGTATCTGGAAACCCAGTAAACATTCACTAACATCATTTTAATGAACATATAATCAGTGTTTGGGGACTATTAACATGGAGGCATAACTCTCAGAGGCTGGAAGGGAGTGTAATGTTGGCCTCACCCAGAGTTCCAGCTAACGGTCTGGATGGGGCCCTCTGCTCGGTGAAACATGACACACTCAGTCCTCCTCTGAGCTTTTGCCAGGTTTCCCCTTCCTCCTCCTTGCTGCCCGCCTAGATCTTCACAACCCCAGGGCACGTGATTCCAGTCTCAATACCTCGTGACTCTAGCCCTCCTGACTCCCGCTGTTCTCTGCACTCACACAGCATGGCTGCTTTGCCTTAGGTGTGTTAGTCTGTTTAAGTCGTGAAATGCTAAGCTGCTTGAGGACAGAGTCTGCTTTTTAACTTCTATCGTGCCTAATATAGTGCCAAGGGCATAGTAGCTGCTTAAGAAATACTTATTATTTTACTTAACGACCTAAACTACCTAAGGAAGTGTCTAAGAGAGAATATCAAATCTCAAACGTCCCAATAACTTGACCAAATGGAACAACATGCCTTATTTTTAGCATGTCTTAACTTGATTAAGATGTCCGTTCTAAGTTAATTTATACATTTAATACAAATAACCAGGAGTATTTTTAAAGACCAACACAAGTTGATATTAAAGTTCATATGAGAAAAAAATGCACAAGGCTACCTAGGAAAACCCTGAAAAGGAAGAGCTCTGAGGTGATGCCAGCCCTGATAGATAATAAAGCGTACTACAAAGCCTCTGTGATTAAAACAATGTGGTACTGGTGCATACCTAGGTAAACAGACCAATGGAAGATAATAGAAAGTCTAGAGATAAACACAACTATGTATAGACTTCCAGAATAGGACAAAGGTGATGCTTATAATCACTGGGGCACAGATGACCTTTTTAAGAAATGTTGTTGGGATAAACTAGATGGCCATTTAGAAAACTGTAAATTGTATTCGTTTAAAAATCATGTACAAGAATAAACTCCAAATGGACTAGAGATCTGAATTTTAGAAATGAAATTACATAAATACTAAAAGAAAGTATGGGTAAATTTCTGTACAACTTGGATGTAAATAAAGGCTTTCTACCTATGACTAAAAATACAGATACTTGATAAGGAAAGATTGAAAAATTTGACTACATTAAAAAACCCCCAAACTTCTGCATGGCAAAAATCCCCGTCATAAACAAAACTAAAAACAAATCACAACTGGGAGAAAATATTTGTAACATATACCAAAGATAAAAGGCTAATATCTCTAATAAACAAACATTTTTTAACAAATTAAGTGGGGGGAAAAAAAGACCAAAGTTCTGTAGCAAAATGGGCAAAATTCAGGAGAGGACGATTCACAAAAAGAGACATGAATGCGCTGGTTGTGGTGACTCACACCTATAATCCTAGCACATTGGGAGGCCGAGGCAAGAGAATAACTTGAGCCCAGACCAGCCTGGGCAACATGGTAAAACCTTATCTCTACAAGAAGTACAAAAATTAGCTGGGCGTAGTTGTGCATGCTTGTAGTCTCAGCTACTTGGGAGGCTGAGGTGGGAGGATTGCTTAAACCTGGGAGGAGGAAGCTGCAGTGAGCCATGATCCTGCCACTGAACTCCAGCCTAGGCAATGCTGGGTAACAGAGCAAGACTGCCTCAAGGAAAAAAAAAAAAAAAAAAAGGAAAAAAGAGAGACACATGAATGACCCTAAATATATGAAAAGTTGTCCCACTTCACATATAATAAACATAATGCAAATTAAAACAAGAATGAAATTTCACTTCTTATTCATTAGACAAAATTATGAATTTTGACAATGCAATCTGTTGATGTTGTGGAGAGCAGACACTGTCACTCATTGCTGGGGGGAATCCCAAATGGCACACCCCTTTGGTGAATTTGGCAGTATCTTCACCCAGAAATCCTACTTCTAGGAATTTACCCTGAAGATACACCTCCAACAATATACTCATTACAACATATTTGTAATTGTAAAATATAGAAACCACCTAAATGTCCAAGCATAGGAAATTGGTGGAATTAAATATGGTTCATACACACAATGAGGTATGGTGCAGCTATGAAATACAAAGCAAACAAGGGAGATTTCTATGAACTTAGATGGAACGCTAAGTACATTAGGTATATAGAATGCTATATTTAGTGTAAGAAAGAAAACAGATGATACAAAATGTACATATATCTGCTTATTGTTACCACAAGAAATTCAGGAAGGATAAATCAGAAAACAATGAAGCTGATTATTTACTGGAGGTGGGGAATGGAAATGATTCCGGAGAGAGTGACACTTCTTTAAGAAATTTTTTTAGTATAGTTTTGACTTTTGGAAGCATGTTAATATTCTACATGTTTGAAAATAAAACTATAACAAGATGAGAAGGGAAAGAAAAGCCTAAAACCAAAAGCAAATGGAAACAAGTGACCTCAGTTGTATTTCAAATGAGTACTATAACCACGCAGAAAGGGGAAAAAAACGAAAGAAAGAACGAATCTAAGGCACTCATGAATACAGTGCTTGACTATCTACTGGTCAGTCTTGGGTGAAATTGAGTGGGGGAGAATTGCAAACAACTCCTGAATTCTTTTTATTTATTTATAACTTAAAAAATTTTATTTTATTTTAGATACACTGGGTACATGTGCAGGTTTGTTACATGGGTATATTGTGCAATGCTGAGGTTTGGGCTTCTAATGATCTCATCACTCAAGTAGTGAACGTGAGTGAACAAGGCATCTGACAGTTTTTCAATACTTGCTCCCCTCCCTCCCTATCCCCCTTTAGAATCCCCAGTGTTGATTGTACCCATTTTTATGTCCATGTGTATCCAATGTTTAGTTCCTACTTATAAATGAGAATATGTTGTATTTGGTTTTCTGTTTCTGCATTAATTTGCTTAGAATACTGGCCTCCAGCTGCATCCATGTTGCTGCAAAACACGTAATTTCCTTCTTGTTTCTGGCTGTGTATTAAGAGTATTCCATGGTGTATATGCACCACATTAAAAAAATCTAACACACCATTGATGGGCACCTGGGTTGATTCTATGTGTTTGCTGTTATGAATAGTGCTGTGATAAACATACAAGTACAGGCTGGGTGAGATGGCTTACACCTGTAATTCTAGCACTTTGGGAGGCTGAGGCAGGAGGATTGCTTGAAGACAAGAGTTCAAAACCAGCCTGGGCAGAAAAGTGAGACCCTCTCTCTGCAAAAAAATGAACGAACACCTCAAATCAACTGGGTGTGGTGGTTCCGGCCTGTAATCCCAGCTATGTGGGAGGCTGAGGGAGGATTGCTTGAGCCTAAGAATTCGAGGCTGCAGTGAGCTAAGATCGTGCCACTACATTCCAGCCTGGGTGTCAGAACAAGACTCTCTTAAAAAAACAAAACAAAACAAAACCCCAAAAAACGTATGAGTGCAGGTGTCTTTTTGATAGAATGATTTATTTTCCTTTGAGTATATACCCAGTAATGGGATTGCTAGGTCGAATAGTATCTTTATTTTCAGTTCTTTGAGAAATTTCCAAACTGCTTTCCACAGGGGCTGAACTAATTTGCATTCCCACCAAAAGCGTATACGAATTCTCTTTTCTCTACAACCTTGTCAACAACTGTTATTTTTTGACTTTTTAATAATAGCCATTCTGACTGGTGTGAGATGGTATCTCATTGTGGTTTTGATTTGCATCTCTCTGCTAGTGATTTTGAGCATTTTTTTATATGTTGGTAGGTGGCTCGTATGTCTTCTTTTGAGAAGTGTCTGTTCATACCTTTTGCCTATTTTTTAATGGGATTATTATTATTATTTTGGTGTTGATTTGTTTAAGTTCCTTATAGATTCTGGATATTAGGTGTTTGTCAGATGCATAATTTGAAAATATTTTCTCCCATTCTGTAGGTTGTCTGTTTACTCTATTGATAGTTTCTTTTGCTGTGCAGAAGCTCTTTAGATTAGTTAGGTCCCAATTGTCAATTTTTGTTTTTATGACATTTGCTTTTGAGGACTTAGCCAGAAATTATTCACCTATACCAATGTCTAGAAGAGTACTTCCTAGGTTTTCTAGGATTTTTATAGCTTGAGGTCTTAAATCTTTAATACATCTTGAGTTAATTTTTGTATATAGTGAGAAAAAGGGGTCTGGTTTTATTCTGCATATGGCTAGCTAGTTTTCCCAGCACCACTTATTAAATAGGTTATCCTTTTCCCATTGTTTAATT